CATCATCATCATCATCATGTTGTACCCCACCTCTCTGAGAACAATCTCTGTTCCTCTGTGGAACCCGCTTCCTTAGAATTTTTCAATGGCTTGTAGTGTTTTACAAGTGTCTAGAAATGTTTTTAAAGCTTTCAAACTGCTTTTAATGGGGAGGGGTTGCTGGATGCTGAGCTCAGTGTTTTAACAAGGTTTTATAGTACGCAATCCATTATTTTATGTTCTTGTGCTAGAAAGTCTTTTTGTTTTTGTTTTGTTTTGTTTTTTGGGGAAAGGGACATTTGTTTTTATTTTTATGTTTTTAAAATACATTCAACCTCTTATTGCAAACATAAAGAAATCCATATATATCCACATATATACATAATGCTGATCATACATTGTGCCAATGCAGGAGGTACTTAAAGTTTATTTCCTCCGGAGAGGAAGAAAATCAACCAAAAACATTTTCTAAACATATTTCTTGGCTTCTTGTTAAAGTTTATAAATGGCAGCTTAATGCCATAATTCATTAGTCTTCTCCCATTTCTTGAAATAATGTTGTTCAGATTTGCCATTTATTATCATTGTCAATTTATCCATTATCATTAAGTCATTAATTTTTACAATCCATTCTTCAATTATATGTTTATTTCCCTCTTTCCAATATTTTGCGAATACCACATGGGCTGCTGCGATCATATTTAGGATTACCCCTATCTCATCTTTACTCAGCTTCCGCTTCAGTTCCTCAGTTATATTTAAAAGAAATAATTTTGGCTTTAGCTCATAATGTATTTGAAAGATTTCTTGTATCTTTATGTGAATCGCCTTCCAAAACTTTACTACTTCCTTGCACTCCCCACCACATATGAAATAGGTTAGCATTATTTTGTCCACACTTCCAGCATTTATTTTCACTGCTGTTTTTAATCTTAGCAAGTTCTGCAGGAGAAAAGTGCCACCTGTAAAGCATTTTATAGTAATTTTCTATCAGGCTTGCGCTTTTATTAAATTTTAACTTGTTTAGTCATACTTTTTCTCAAATGTTCAGTGGTATTTGTTCTTCTAACTCATGCATCCATTTTATCATGCTTTCTTTAATTGTTTCTTCTTTTAATTCAATATCTAATAACATCCTATATACTCGAGATATCATGTGCTTTTCACCCCTATTAAGTATTTTTGCTAAGTCTTTTCTTTCTGTTTCTATTCCTATACAGTTGTGATCTTTTTTAAATCTTTCTTTTAGGTGAAAATACAGTAACCACTGTATTTCTATCCCTCCTTTTTGGAGTTCCTCTATTGTTTTAAGGTTCGCCCTTTTTTTGTTTTAGTGTCTCCATAGGAGATCCATTTTTCTATGTGAGTTTTTTCTCCTTTGTGGAAGGCTTCCTGTGTCGAAACCCACCTTGGAATTTTG